AATAAAAGTTAGCCAGGTGTAGTGGTGCATGCCTATAGTCCTAGCTACTCTGGAAGATGAGGCAGGGGGATCTCTTGAGCCCAAGGGTTCAAGGTTGCAGTGAGCTATGATTGCACCACTACACTCTAGCCTGGGCAACAGAGTGAGACCCTGTGTCTAAAAAAAAAAAAATCTCCAAGGAAGGAGGCATGCTGTTTTCCATGTACTCTTGTATCATTTAGTCTCAATCTGAAACATAATCATATACTGTTATTATTTTTTAGTGTGTGTGCATATATTCAGTAGCTTTCTTTATAGACTCCTTGAGGGCAAGAAGTCTGTTTTATACTTTTTCTGTATTTTCCTACAAGCACGAACCTATATTCCCTAAAATAATGTAAACAACTCTTAAATGGAAATGGAATTTCTTTGTCCTTTAGGCCAAATTGTGAATCTTAATTTTCATATATTCTCTCGTCAGTGAAAGACAACACAGAAGCCGTTCCTGTGTCGGAGAGAAAGCGAACGAAAGCCAGAAACAGGAGGAATTCCAGGTGGGAGTTTTCAAGTAGAGGGTTAGCAATTGACGAGAGGTGAGCAGTTTTGCCAGGATTTGAGACTAGAAACAATTCACTGAGGCACATTTTCTTTACATTCCTATTCCTGGACAAATTATTCTGCCTTGTTCCTTTTTAGTTTCTTGGGCAGGTGCTAGGCAGACAGTCCTGGAGTGTTCTGGAAAGGAGTGCTTTGTGTAAATATAGCAGGAAAACACAACACGGGAATGTCAGGCTTCAAGCTGAATAAACCAGCAATTAATCACTTCCCGGCTGGCTGCGGTCCCGCGGTGCAGATATGCCAGCCGTCCCCATGAAGCCAGCATCCTCCTTAAAAACAAAGCCCCCATTGCCTGGGCGCGGGTTCCCGTTTCTAATATGCAGATCGCTGCACTTTTAGCAACAATACTTAATCCTTTTGGGAGTAGTGATGGGGCTCGCTTCAGATAATTGTGTCTTTGACCACAGCATGATTCATGTCGTTCCTTGGCAACTGTTTTATTGTGAGGTGCGGGTTTCACGGAGGAAGTGGGCTTTGGGATGGGTGGGGAGAGTGGGGTGCTGCTGCAGGATGGGCTCAGCCGTCAAAATCCAGCTCACTGAAAGGTTGAAGTGTTATGTTATTCCAGTGCAGGTACCGGGGAGTTTAATATTTGATTTATGAGCCCAAACAAGAGTTCCTCTGGAAAGGCGGAACTCCGAATCCTGAGTACCGCCTGAGTTGAAAACAGACCAGGACTCGCCATCACAAAGTGCTTTGGACCCTGTCCCCCAGCCCCACGCAGCGTCCACTAAGAGGAGCTGGCCCTTTGTTCCTGCAGCCTGCCCACCCGGCCCCTAGGGGGCACAGCGAGAACCGCTCCTCTGCCGCACGTACGAAGCACTTTTCACCTTTCCAGTCATCAGCCTTCCTCTGCAGACGGCGGATTCCACGGCGGTCCTGCCTAGCGGCTCCTCAGAAACACGTGAGGCCTGAGCTGCGTCCTTTGCATCCGCGGCCAGGCCTGCGCGCAGCGTTCCGACTGCATCCAAAGGCAGCTTCAGAACGGAGTAACGGGAGCTTACTTTTAAGGACCAGCGTTTTGCATAAGAGTGAGATTTGAATCGACTGCATTGACACGTTCTTCGCCTCCTGTGCACAGGTGATCAGCAACTTCCAGACTGTCACCTGTGCTTTGTTTCTGGGCCATTTGTCCCATCAACAAGTGTATTTTGTGTTCCATGTGTGGGTACTGTGGTCACGCAATCGATGCCCTCCAGGGCAGTAGTACCAGGGATTTTCATTCCAAAAGAAGAAAGTTACTTTCAGTTTCCCTAAGGACCCTATGCTGGGGGAAAATGTCTTGGGGCTTAGGAACAGAAAAGGCACTGGAGGGGTGGCCATCGACAGGCGTCAGCTCATCCAGTGCTCAGCCCGGAGGAAGGGCACGAGCATGGGAAGAGGCTAGATCAGCTCCTTTAGGGATGAGGACATCGCTGTCCACTCGGTGACATTAACTCAGGGTCACATTGTGAGCACGGAGCGGAATGCAGACCTGGCCTCTCTGGTTTCCAGGTCCCGCTCTGCGCTGCCTGCCCCGATGGGAGCTGAACTCAACTAGCTGAATGACCTTGAGCAAGCCACTTAATCTCTCTACATTTCATTTTCCTCCGACGTCGATCATCTTAAGGCTCCTTCCGGTTCTGAGTCAGCATTTAAGTCCAGGACGTCAGCCTTGGCAGGCCCTGATAAGCCTTGACTGACTCTTTGTTCTCCATGGCCTTGGTAACAAATGGAAATAAACTCTCACAGGCATCAGAAACCAGCCTTATCCTCTGGGTCCATGCCCATTTGTCAAAAACTTGGCAAAAGTTACATTCTTACTAGTGAACTCTCAACATAGCTTCATTCATTGTTTGACACACAAAATTTATGACATCTGTTGGAGGAATGTAGCTCTGAAAACGCTCAATGTCAAAAAGTATATATAATGGGAGGAACACTTCTTGCACTGCCTGACATTTCTAATTTCTTTCCAAACCCTTGTCTCCAATTCTAGGAATGATGGCTCCCTGAACACCCGCCTGCTTTTTCATTGGAGGATTTAGATTTTTTTCCTCTATGTATATCTGACCACATTTTTTTGAAAAATCACATCTACAAGTAGTGTTGACAAGTTGAAAAAGTGGTTAACACACAACTATTTGTTCAAGTAAAAGATATATATTTTTTTCCTGGAGAAAAAAATCAGGTCCCAAGTATTGAACTCCAGAGGAGACATAGCAGCATTTGCAAAAATTAGATGTTTCTGTTAACAACATCTCTAGGAGCAACAAGTAGGGGAATTGTTCTCTTCAATGCCAGTCTCAAAAAGTTCAGAATGTATCCACAAAGCGCTTTTTTTTTTTCTGTAAAGAGATTGTAGAAATCTCATCACAAATTTATATTTTTTGAAGATGCTTATATTCCTACCCTGTACCCTTTTTCTGTGGAGTTCCACAATGTTTAACTCTGAACAAGGCAACTGTTCCAGCTGTTCTTTCTGAAACCTGGGCCCGTGAAGTTTCAGCAACAGCATTTACAGAGTATGAATCTTGAATTCTCTCTCTCCAATTCATAATTCTGTAAACAGCGACCATATGGGCTTCCAGCCCTGGCCTCTCCATACTGAAGAGTCCCAACTAATCTCTTTGGCCTGACCTCACAGCGCACCATGTTCAGGGGTTATCACACTGGGTCAGACCGTAGGCATGTACCATATGGAAAGAGGTAATCATTCTTTGAATTGGCATGATGCTTCATAATTATCTCATCTGATTCCTGGAACCCAGAGAGAAATTAGGTGTTAATCTACTCACTCATGGTCCTATCAGCTTCTAAACGGTAGATTAAGGCTACATCTTTCTAGCCTCCTCCTAACTATACCTGCCGCTTCATGTTTTCACCTTTCTCTAGTAGCTGTTTTTCTTCTGCTGTAAAATGTCTGAAACAAGCAGAAGAATCTACTTCTTCCCTGTGTGACACGGCCTTGGGGTCACACAGGCCAGAGTTTGAAGCCTGACCCCGCTACTCAGGGGCTATGGGACTACGAGTCTGAGCCTGTTAGTAAAATGAACGCTGATGTGAAGCTGAAATGAAATAACCCCTGTACGGTGAGTGCAGGTTCTAGGATACCTGAATAGTATCTGAGAATACTACTGACCGTCTTCATCACTTGGGGTATAGTTCGCACAGATGGTTATTAAGCATCATTTGTGGTGGTCTCTGGAGCGCACGTGGCAAGTCGAGGATGGCGGCATTTAGCATTTATGGAGGGTGCCCAAGTGCCCAGCACTGTGCTGTGCATTTTGCTCAGCTGGACATTCAACTCCCACGGGAACAAGCCATGAGCGAGGTGCTAATCTCACCTCCATTTCACAGAGGGAGCAACTCAAATTTAGGGACTTGGCAGGTTAGGCGGCTAGTAAAGGTGGAGTCCTGGTGTGAAGCCAGACCTGGCTCCCAAAGTGAAAGAGGGCTGGCTCCGGGAAAGGCCTCCACGACTACAGTGAAGCACAGAGACTTTTTCTGCCCCCTTCTCCTCCCAGCTGAGGACTGGCAGGGGAGAGCCTTGGGGCGGCAAAACTGGGAAGGTTGAGACTCAGAGCATTCATTTGTCTTGAGCAGGGGGACAGGGTGGCTTTTTGGCAGCGAGATCTAGAAGCCAAGCCTCCAGACTCCTCTTTGGGTCCTTTGCCTTACAGCTTTTGCCTGTTTGCAGAGAGGAGACACCTGATTAAGGGGCACAAAGAACAGCCACAGAGATACTCAACACTTCCGAATGAAAATGTATCTGCATCCAAATGAGTCTTTATTTATTTTGTTCTACTGCATTTGCTTGTGGTGAGAACATCTTTTATTCTCCCTGCAGCACAACTTAAGCCAACTAATAATGTTTGTGATCTATTTTTGTTTGCTTGAAGTCTTCAAGAGCTAGAGAAATGACTGATATTTTCAGTTTCCAAGTCTGAGAAACTGAAGATGTACTGGAATTTAGAACTCACATGAGTTAGAGAGCAGAAAAGTGTGAAGACTCATTAAGGCAGTACTTTTAAGCAGAATCACACTGCTGGGGGACAACAGATTTGGAACATTAGCCCACTACCTGTTTATGTGTGGCTATGTCACTGCTGACCACTTAGCTAATATCTGAGGGGAAAAACCTCCAAACCAGTAAAACCGCTGCAAAAGGCCTAAACATAGGTGCAAACATACACCAATGACATGAAGAAGGACTTTTGGAAAGGGCCTTTCCTGCCTGGTTGTAACTGTAACAGACCGAAATGATGCTGCCTTTAGTGTTTCTGAGACGTAACACAGGAGACCCAGTTCTCTCCCTGGACCCTGGGATATCATTTTAGGAAAACCATTTGTGAGGAAGGCAGGTCAATCACACGATCTAAAGTTCACAAAGCAAAGACCATACAAATGACAGGACCACCAAATTTAGAAAATGTCCTACAATGTGCATTTTATTCCATATCATTATACAATGTTTACATATAGTTTTAACTCTTAAGAAAATGCTCTTTACCAATTCATGTAGTGCCTAAATCTTTCACTTTGACATGGAGACATGAAGAGTGGAAATCCACATCGACTGTTACCCTATGGAGCTGCAGTGAGCTGCAAGTGTGCCAATGAGAAGGGAATGGAAGTCTTAAAAGAGCAGCGTGGCTTACAGACCCTTGGCTTTAGTGAATTCAGGCATGCGGGATCCATAGTCTCATCGCAAAACTCAAGACAAAATAAATTAGTGTTGGACAGAGTTCTAAATTGTACAATATTGAGCAAAAGACCACAGGGGACCTTTTGTTTAAAGTAGCACCAATCCACACCTGATTGTGTTTCCAACATTAATCTTCCTGTTCCCTCCATTGTTGGCACTTCGCATGGAAATCTGTCTGCTTTAGTGAGGACTCCTACACTGACTAAGCATACTGTATTGCTAAACTCTCTACAAAGTGTGGCAACATCAACCTGGGAAATGGCACATTTAAACCATCATCACCCTGACATGGTACTTTGCAGATGTTTCTGTGACAGTGGTAAAAGTAAATAAAAATGCATTTAAGAGGTTTCATGGTAAGCAGGTTTTAAAAAACAAAACAAAACAACAAAACAAAAGAATGTGGTCGCAGCTAAGGAGGTTTTCACATGTTGTTTAACTCCAGTAAAGTCTGATCCAGCATCTGATGCATACTAAGGTTTTCTTCTTTGGCATGAGCCACTTTCTCTGCGGTGGGATTAGAAAATTAAGTCATGAATAGCCGCACTTTGGACACAACGGTGGTTTGTACATTTAAGCAGGCAAACATCAATCACAAACACAGGATGAGATGATTAGAACTAGGCATGCTTGTAAGACATCGCTTGTTTCCAGACAAAGACCTAAGAAGGGGGAAGATGTCTTCGACCCAAAGGAACCACAGGCACAGTCTCAGAGTGGTCAGATGCACCTTCACCAACAGTCTACTCGGAGAATAAAATGCAGGGGGGCTTTGGTGAAGGCTCACTGATCGTGTGCCGTGGGATTAGGGAGAGGTAAAAACCAAATACAGCTTGCAGCACTGCTACACAAACGGGAGAAGTTAATAACAACAGACATTTCTGAGTTACAGGCAGTTAAAAGGTCTGGGAATTGTGCCGTAACACAATCTCACAGAAAACAGATGCCAGGAATAGGTTTTCTGACAACTTTTAAAATGATTTATTTCTATTGCTCATAAAAAATTATCAATGTATTTCATGCACACTCCATTAGGATATTGCCTGAACATTTTTACAGTGTTCTATTTATCATTAGCACGACATTCTCACCAGATTCCAACAACACCATTAGGCTGAATAAAGCATACCTTGCAGACAACCGGGGACTTCTGACATGAGCTCCTGTTTTCAAAAGCTATTTTGCCCAAGCACAGGTACATTTAATCATATTTCAAACACTATATCAGATATTAAGAACTTAGGAATATGAGTATGTAAGTAAAGCAGGATGCACAGTCGTCTGCGGGAAATAGAAAACACTCCTTTCTTTTGGTCCTCATTATGTATCAGTTCAAACAAGAGGACCAGCTCTTACAAAGAGGAGTGCTAAAGTGATTGTTATACATATTTTACCATAAAAGCTGTTTTGGGATTAAAGAGAATTTAATTATTCCTACTATATAGAGAAAAATGCAGGCAAAGCCAGCCTTTCAGCAGATTCCTTTCATTTGCATTTTTGCAGAAAGCAACTGCTTTCAACCCTAGCTGAAGGGAGGACAGTCTTACACTTCCTGCACATGGGCTCCATGCCTAGAATTCAGCCCAAGTTTGTTCACACTTAACTTTAATCCTCATTCAGGGCCAGCTTTAGTTCATTAGTTAGGCGGCGGTTTTGCTCAAGTTGCTGGTAGAGTTGATCTGTACAGGTCAGCAAGCAGGTTAGCAGAAAAGAAGAGGCAGAAGGAAGAGAGGTTAGCCAGACCTGGTGAGAGGCAGTCAACAGAGAACACAGAGATACCTCAGGCAGGACAGCAACTGGTTCCTAGCTGAGCAGTTTACCCCCACCCCCATGGTCATCTGTCCTGTGCCCAGGAAGAGTGGGTGGTAAAGGGCTTGACAGACTTAGGAGGACCAGAATTTCTCCCTTGGTGGAGTGAGAAGAGGCAGGGAGACAAAGGGAAGGGAGGGGAAGGAGCAACAGGATAAGAGGAGGACGAAGTGGGAATGTTCCTTCACTAAACCACCTTGTGAACTGAGCCACAGTTTCTGGCAACAGATTTGGGAACTGAGGCCTGGCTGCAGGCGAGCCCAGAACATCATGCACCCCTGCTAGGAGGCTCAGTGGGGGGACTTAGAGAAACCTCGACCCGCCCATTTCTGCCCACCTCTTGCGGAAGCCCTTTCCTCTCTGCTCACAGGGAAGGCTTTCCCCTCAGGTAATAACCAGCAGGGGCTACTGCTTCTGCTGCATTAACACTTTCTGAAATGCAGAACTAAGTCCCTGTCCTTCCCCCAGTCACCATGATACAGGGTACAAATTCTCAACTCTTGTCCAACTTTGATAGTGTGTTGCCCTGTTCAAATAGCAAAGAACAAGCATTATCTCCACTCATCACCGATTAAGAATTTACCTGCTTACCATTTGCCATCAAGAGGATGGCATTCGTGTTTGGTGCTAATGGATGTGTATAAAATGAATAAAATCTGGAACACCTACATGATGGCCAATGTGATATACTCTTTACATATTGACAAGCAACCTGCTCACGTGGCTAGGGAGCAAACCCCAAGAGTTAGTATGTATCTGATGATCCAGGGGACACCCAAACAATGACAGGCAAGAGCCTGGCACCCACCAGGAAAACCTGGAAGATGCATGGTAGCTTTGAATGATGGTGACAACCTGGACCTAGAAACACTTTGTAATCTTGAAAAGCTAACAAACCTACTCCTGGGGAAAATGTGCCATCAGCCCCCAGGTCTACTGGGAAATTGAGCAATTCTCACATTGACAGTCTCTCATGAACAGTAGGAGATGGGAAGATGCTATGCTCATGTTTGCTAGCTTGGAATACCTGGTGCCTTGTCCTCTTTGCTAATCCAAATTTTCTGAATATTCAAAACCCGGGTCAAATGTGACCTCCCCCGTCAGAATTATTCTTTTCCTTGCTAGCTCTAAATGCACAATACCTATTGGTTCAGACTTGCTTCACTATTTATGTTCCCACAAGATGGCCAGCTGGTCGAGGGCAAAGAACATTTCCGGCTCATCTCTTTACCACACCCCCACTACCTCCCACAGTGCCTTGCCGGTGGCATATGATTGGGGGCTGCAAAACATAAACCCCCCTACTGCATCCACACAATTGACACAGGGCTCTGTCACCATGGGTAGGAAGTCTTGGTTTGCTGAGCCCAAATGTTTGGCCAAGCTGGAATGAAAGGACTTTGGAGAAACCCTAGAGAATCCAGATGGTCAACGTGAATCCAGCTAAAAGGACAGTGGTCCCTCCCACAGCCTCCTCTGGACCTTCTCCCCTTTAGCTGCCATGGAGCTGGGGTGCATGGGTGGCCCAAGGGCAGGGACCAGACACATTTGTACCCTTGGAAGTGTTTTCTCCTCCTTTTCTGTGGAGACTCTCAGATGTCTGAGGCCTCTGGTGCCCAGACTCAGTGATGCATTTGGTTTGGTCCTCTTGCAGCAGCTGCAGCTACAGCCTGGCCCTCTGAACTAGAAGCCTGGGCCCCAACAACTTTTCGATAAACTCAACTTGCTGTTTGTCCTCTTGTGTACACACACCTCCTTGGGCTACTCCAGACCTGCCTTGCCAAGCCATCAGTTCCCCACTTCCCCTGGTAGAGAGTGTACTTATAAAAAGCATGCAAGTCTCCAGAAGGGTTCCCAGAAACAGATGCACCTCCGGAATTAACTGAACATCTGCTCGGCAGAACTTGCAGACTTGTCATTTTGTCTCTGGCAGGAAGCAGGATTACTCAGAGAAGGGTATGCTTATGTTACCCTGAATTTAAAAAAGAACAAGGCAGGACTCATGGTCAGAAGCAGGCCCAAGGAGCCTTAGGAAAAGACATGACATTATAGAAGTCCTTATATCTCAAGGGAGAGACATCGTCCAGATTCTAAATTTTAAAGCCTACCATACTACTCTAAAACACTTTTAATTCACAGCTCTCTTTAAAAAGAGTATTTCCTCTCTTCTCTGAAGTCTTTGTAGAGTGACTGACACTATTTTCAGAGTTTGTTCAAATTTATTTGAGTATAGTAGTCATATCAGTCCTCTTGGGCTAACAAAACTATAAATAAAACATGAGGATCACCTACATTTAAAAACAGGAGAAATACAGCCAGATTGCTGAGGGAGGAAAAATATTGAGAATTAAGAAATACTGGGAATTAAGAAACTAAAGTCCATGTTATGTAAAGTTCTAATTTTGTGATGTATTAAAAAAATCACTTAATTGCTGTTTGTGAATTGAAATAGTGAAGCCCAAATAAAATAAAACAGTATTCTGAACAATTTCCACCAACTAGTTTTTTGGCTATATTTTTTAAATGTCCACAAATGAAAAAAAAAACAGCTATTAAACACAAAGATGATGTACAACCCCTCCTAAAGACTACACGATACACTTAAAAGCATAAAAATAAATTACAACTGAACTTAGCGATCGTATTTAGAAAACCCAATGTTATTTTCATGATCAAAATGAAGGTGGCTGAGTAACGAATATACTTTTAAAGAGCTTGAACTCTTCTTTGTGCTGTAAAGGATGATCAAAAATAACCACAACTTACGTTGTCTGGATTCAAGTTATTTTTCGCCTTTCCCAGTGTGTAAATTCCTAGCAATTGTGGAACAGCCATGGAGCCACTCATCATGAGCCTCGCGTGAGTTAGCCACATCTTCCCAAGCAGGGCTAAATACCAACACAGAGGGGTCGCCACATGCCAGACTAAGCCTCTGGCAGAGGAAGACACTGATCAAGCCACACGACCCGATTCCCAACAAGCAATGACCCCGTGCAGAGGTTCTCAACCCCCACCGCACTCCAGAACCGTCACAATTTCCAAAAAACCCCACGGATGCCCAGGCCTCCCTCTGGCCTTTGGAGACAAAAACTCAGAGGGATGCAGGCTTGGGTATTTTTCTAAAAGTTCCACAAGGAACTACTACTTTAGAAACTCCTGATATTAAAGTATAACGTTCAGAATAAAAAAGAAAAAAAAAAAAGCAGCAGCCAAAAACTAACTCTCGTACGTGTGAAGCAGATTTGTAGTTTTATTCAGTGTTGAAACTAAAATGTCAATAAATAAGTAAAAAGAATAGCAAACAGAAATAGCTTACACAGTGTTTATTTTACACTGAAACGAAGAGCTTCTGTACAATAGAAAGCAGTGTGTGCCTGGCTCTAAGGCAGGATGCTAAGAGAAAGAACCAGGCTCGGCTGGAGAACAGATAGATGCAGAGCTCAGAGAGGTGGGACATCCAGCTCGATGAAGGAGTCTTGGGAGAACCGAAGCAAAGAAACTTATCTGCGTGAAGATAAAAGGTGGGAGAAAAAGAAAAAGTGGCACAATGGAAAAAAGGAAAACCAAACTAACATGAGGACAGCACTTGCCACGCAGACAAGCAGACATGCAAACCCCTGCCTTGGGAGGGTCTCCATCCTTGCCCGCCAGGTCTGCACCTGAGGCCACTATGGGCCCCTCTGGGTAAGGGTCCATGTTAAGAAGACCCATAAACAGAATTTAAAAACAAATTTTAAGTTAAAACCACCTTTCAGAATATTTAATCATGCTTGACACTGAAAGTTTTTCCATAGAATCGCCATATTTTAGCACTGGAAAAGACCTTAGAGACAGATGATCTGATCCACCCCCTCATTTGCAAGTGAGGAAAGAGAAGATGGAATTCTCTCTCGTTTCCATGGTGACAGTCATGTCTCTAAGGGCCTTTTTGTTGAGTGGAGATTCTATAACCTCTAAGGCAGCAGGCACATGCCACACTCTTCACGCTATTGTTTTTCTGTATGGCTGAAGGAATGACAGGCAGGCCTGGAAAGTAACAGTTCCAGCTTCAGTGGAATCCAGTGTGATATTAGAATGAAGAACCCTTTGTGAAAGATTCCAGGTTAGAATTTAAAGAGGTAGAAAAAGCTTAACACTTTCAAGTTTGGTTAGTAATATGTAAATTAACTATGTAAGCTCGAGGTTCTTCTCATGAAAACACAACTCCCTACTCTAACATTGCCTCACAGTAAAATCTGGGCCATTAACTCCCAACTGACATTGTGCAATCTGTGTTTTATTTCCCATTTCTTTGACACAGGTGGTGGTAAATATTTATTGTGGGTTATTTAATTCTTTTTATATAAACAGAAAATTTGAGGGTTGATTCCTCAGCAGAGGATTCATTTTACTCTAGAATTCTATTTTTTTTTTTTTTTTTTTTTGAGACAGGGTCTCACTCTGTTGCCTGGGCAGAGTGCAGTGGCATCATCATAGCTCACTGCAACCGCAAACTCCTGGGCTCAAGTGATCCTCCTGCCTCAGCCTCCCGAGTACTGGGACTACAGGAGCATGCCACCGTGTCTGGCTAATTTTTCTATTTTTTGTAGAGATGGGGTCTCGCTCTTGCTCAGGCTGGTCTTGAACTCCTGGCCTCAAGCGATTCTCCCACCTCAGCCTCCCAGAGTGCTAGGATTACAGGCGTGAGCCACCACGCCTGGGCTACTCTAGAATTCTTTTTTTTTTTTTTTTTGAGACAGAGTCTCACTCTGTTGCCCTGGCTCGAATGAGTGCCGTGGCATTAGCCTAGCTCACAGCAACCTCAAACTTCCTGGGCTCAAGTGATCCTACTGCCTCAGCCTCCCGAGTAGCTGGGACTACAGGCATGCGCCACCATGCCCAGCTAATTTTTTCTATATATTTTTAGTTGTCCAGATAATTTCTTTCTATTTTTTAGTAGAGACGGGGTCTCGCTCTTGCTCAGGCTGGTCTTGAACTCCTGAGCTCCAACAATCCGCCCGCCTCGGCCTCCCAGAGTGCTAGGATTACAGGCGTGAGCCACTGCGCCCGGCCTCTACGCTAGAGTTCTTAAAAGTGAAGAAGAGATGATCTCTTATAGCACCATTCTTTAGTCTGTATTGGACTTGCCAATTTCCTTTTCTTTAGATCCTTAATAACCTGACACTTCAGAGTTTCCTTAAACTTATATTTCTTTTATGGAAATGATCATATTGTACTTAACTGAATCTCAGGAAACCAATTTTTGGTATTTCTTGAGAAGTTCCTTCACAATTGCATGGCCTTCTAGTTTTACTTGCGTCTAGTTTAATCCCTTAAAAGGATGGTGCTCGAGGTCATTCCTATTCTAGTTCATTGCTCAGTGGGCACAATCTAGTTCAGCGTTTACAAAATAAAAGGGTTTTGAAAGGAAAATGGTTTGTACAGACAAACTTCACCTACTTGGCTTTTGTATTAGTAGGAAATGAGAAAACAGTGACTATTCTAGTTATACGAAGGAGTGAACAGAGGGTGCAAAGACAGAGATCAAGCAGCAGAGAAGGGAGCGGTGGTGAGTTTGTCCCGTTAGCATGAGGGCATGGGTGTGAACAGGCAGGTGGATGGACATTTACATGGAAGTCATATCGTTGAGAGCGTGGTCCAGCTCCTCGCTGATGGCTTTGTACTTCAGTTTCTGAGCGTACAGCTCGTCTATGACCAGGAAGTGGAAGGCAGAGGTGCAAGGACATGGAGAGTGATCAAGAGATGGAGGGTGAGCGAGGGTGGCGCGGGCGCCATCCCGACACAGCAGCAAGGAAAGGCAATGCATGAAGGGGTTGGTGCCGCAGCAGGTGGCCAATGCAGGAGGCGTGCGTTTTGTTTTTAAATAAATTGAAACAAAAACAGAGAGAACAAAACCCATTAGAAAATAAAATGAGAAAGACTCAATATGAAAATCATAACAAATATGGTAGGTATATCAGTAAACCATGTTAAATGCTAAAAAAAAAACCCCACAGAAGGCTGTCTCCTGGGTGGGTAATGGAACATCTTTTTTTTTTTTTTTTTTTACAGAGCTATATTTTAACTACACTGGAGTAGTCAGCCACTTGCAGCTATAAACAGTGGAAAAAAACACCCAAGGGCAGTGTTTTGGAAGAACAATTTGCGACGATAGCTTGTAATATCTGGCTCCACCTTCAAACCACTGACTTCCTGACCAAACTAGACCACTGGGATATTGATTTCTCAGTGTCATTTAAACTACTCCTGTGGTCTTCCCACTCAGGCCGCCTGTTACTGGTCCAGGAGACTTGAAAAGCAAAGAGAGCCACGCTTCTTACGGTACTGTTGTGGCAAGTGTGCAATTTAGTTTTTGAAACGATGAAGGTTGCAGACTTTGCTGCACTTTGGCAGATTGTTGTGCAACCATTTGTCATTCTGTTTTCTCCACTATCTTGGTTATTATCTACACCACGCTCTAGTCCTTCCTCTAACCCTTCTGTGACGTATATGTATTTTTTCTTTTTCACAGCTGACCCTTCACAAGCCTCAGAGATGAACATTTAGGATTTCTGTGAGATAAAGTGGGTATTACTAAAATAAAACCTAATTGCCTTAGGGGAGAAATGCTTAAGTCTTCAGTATAATCTCCAAATGCCATGCTCTATTGATTTCCCCCTCTTTCAGGATATAGAATGTTTTACTAAGATAACAAATGGCTTAAAAAAAAACACCCCAAACCCATGCATTGAATTAACATGGAAGAAGATAGATTGTGTTCAAAAACAAAGATACCAAATATACTAGAGTATATAAGCACCTATAAGCACTTCACTCACAATGAAAAATGAACCTGTCGCACTTCTGATGAGCATGAAGTAGAGCTAGATGGCATTTGCCATTACAGCTGGTGGCTCAATGTCACCTCATGCGCAGAGGACTCAGGTCCAAGAGTTTAAGAACCACAGATGAAAACCCCAGAGGACAGACAGGAAGAATTTGCAAGAGCAAAGAAGTATATCAAGGTGGATGCCTTCGGAATGGAAAATCATTCTACCAGGTCAGTATTCAACCGTAAGGATTATATTAAAACTGACACTTAAGATCTTACCTTCTAAGTCGTCAATGCTTTTCTCCAATTTAGTTACTGACCTCTCCGCAAACTCAGCCCGAGTCTCAGCCTGTAATGATTTAATTTATTTGAGTCAAAGTTGGGAAGTTTTACGTTTCCAGTAGCTACAAATATAGGGAAGACTAGAGGACGAAAATGAAGCACATCACCCGGAAAATGGGCCTGAAACTACCTGTCCGTTTCAGTCACTACCATGAGAGATGGCAGCTAGCACAACAAATACGCTCCGAGACCACCCTTGCATATTCCTGACTTGGATCATTATTAACTTTAAAATGAAAAAGCCCTGACGAGCTCCATGAAAACAAACTCATTTAAAATCCAGTTGGCTTTATCCAAAACTCTCATAATATTACCTCCTTCAGTTTGTCAGAAAGGACCTTGATCTCTTCTTCATATTTGTCTTCCTTCTGTGAGTACTGTAATTAGAAAGAGCATTCCAGATGTCAGGCTGCAGCTCACTCTACTCATGCCTCCTAATGCAAAGAACGTGCCAGCCCAGCCAACAGATGTTAAAGATCTCTCAGGAGGTAACACAACCTCTGATATCCAATGGCATACTACAATACATTCTCTGCTTTCTTGCCTATTGTTTTACATGGGATAAGAACAAGATAACTTATCCATTTGGCACTTGGTTGAAATTAAATTGATGACTCACATACCTAACATAAATTCTCTATTTAAAAAAAAAAAAGAATCTGCTATCCAATAACCATCAGGACATAATCTCACAATGTCGCCACGTACTAAAATGCCTGCTGTACTGTCGCTTTCATCAGCAGGCCTCAGAAGAGAAAAAGTTCGCCTCTTTTGTGTAGCTCTTAAAAGATGCCTTTTCCCCCACACCATGCTCCTGGCCTACCTTCTCGGCCTGAGCCTCCAGTGACTTCAAGTTGTTCGTCACAGTTTTCAATTCTTCTTCAAGCTCGGCACATTTGCTAATGTTTTCGATCAGAGGCAGAAAGGGTGGGAGACAAGCCAAAGGAAGGAGGAGAGAAAAAGGAGAGGGATGGGAAAAAATGAAAACCGAGTCCTAGAGATGAAGGGCTGCCTTAAAGTAGCCAAGTCATCAGGTATTAAGATGGTCAATATTGAGATGTTGCCATGGACACTGCCTCCCCAACCTCGCAACAGCAGAAAGGCAAGGTGACAAACCCCAGCAACTTTGGAGTGTGATAATTTGGCTTCTTTTTTGGCTGCCCAAAGAAGCATTTATGAAGGGAAAAACAAAGGAGCATAAAGGACCAAGGGAAAGCACTTAAAGCAAGATATAAATAGCAGAGGGTGTAGTGAAGGTGCAGTCGTTATACCAAACCAACCAGTAGGCATTGGAAGCTGAAAGGCATCTGGGTTGCAGTTAAACCTAAAAACCACACATGAGCCATCAGTACCTTATCCTCTGCAGCCATTAATGCTTTCAAGGTCTGATCCATTATTCTTAATTGTTCTTCCAGCTGTCGAACTTGGCTGTTAGTGGACACAGGAAATGCACAAGGCCATTCACAAAATCAGTGTGCAGGTAAGGCATGCAGTGATACACGCATTCATACATAGACACCCCACAAGAGTCCTCCATGTTCCATACTCGTGGCTCATCCACATCAAATGAGCACAAAAGGAGCCCGGAGCTGAAACAGGTAAATGTGCAGCTGCCAGAAGGTCATGCTGTTTAGTCACCGCTCTGCAGCACCCCACACGTGGCCTCCTGGCGCCGGGCCCGCTTACCTTTCTGAGAGCTCAGCCCGCTCCTCTGCGCGTTCCAGGTCACTCTCAATGATGACTAGCTTGCGGGCCACCTGCAGCAGGAAAACACAGTACACACATACACCATGGGGCTTGCAAGCTTTGTGTAGGAGGGCGTGGGGGTGGGGAACAGATCCCATCAGCCCCTAAGGGCTCTTGTCTACAAACTCGAGGATCCTCTTTCCAGTAGACTGGAGAGCAGCAGCTCTCTGCTAGCAGTGCCAATAGGGAGGAGACCAGAGGCTTCTGCTCACAAAGGCCCAGAATGGTTAGTTACGATTGGGCAGTCTCAGCTGGAAGTCTGGGCCAGGTGTGTGTATAATTACACAGCGGCAAGACCAGAATGTAGAAGGAGGGAGAAATACAAATCCACAATCTCAAAAATAGCAGTAGCATGAGACGTGATGCATTTTATACTGAAAAGGTGGGGGGCTGCCAGGAAGACACTGAAAATCAACCTCAGAACGCCATCAATTTAGACCTCTGTACATCAACCTCCTTTTTGTGGAGGAAGAAGGCAAGAGGAGCTAACATGAGTAAGCTGGTGAAATGATTAACAAAGCCAAATCTGTATTCAGTGGAGAACCTGAGAAGAAAAAGGATACTCTGATGCAGTTCAAGATTAGCGAGCACAGTGTTATCTGAAGATAATAATAATAAAAAAGGAGGGTCAATGCTGTTTCATGGCCATGTGATACAATAAGGAAAAAACTAAAACATTAATAGCAATGTTGGCTCCATTACCACAGGAAATTGTTTTCATGAGGACATGAGCAGGAGCTGAAAACCTATGTTGATAAAGGGTTCCTACCACCCTGGAGGAGAGAGGCCTCCATGAATCTCCTTCAAGCCAGTGCATGGTCCGTGGTCGCTAAGCTGCTTGAACAGGACGTGCTAGGTAAATCACACTGGCAAGAACTGCTTACACCGTGACAGCCTGAGAGTCTCCTTTCACAAGACACAAGTGGTCCAACTCTCCCTTCTCCTGGCTGAAGAAAGATCTTTTGTCCTGGTCTTTGGGGGTGGGGGAGAGGAGTTGTGGTCCTTCTTCCCAGTGCTATGGACTGGCGTCATGATAAAGCCTAGGATCCCCTAGCAGGATCAAAACAAGAGCCGTTTTCTGGAGACAAAGGAACTTTGCTTCTCAAAACCACCCATTTCTGCCAAGGAAGCAGACTGCTTCGCTCAGGAATCAAGGCTGTACACTGCTCCCTGGCCTCCTGAAGGCCACTGCTGGGAGCCCACGAGGCTCTGGGCCTCAGGATCTGACCTCTTCATACTTGCGGTCGGCATCTTCAGCGATGTGCTTGGCCTCTTTCAGTTGGATCTCCTGAATTTCCATTTTTTCTTCATCCTTTTGGGCTCGACTCTCAATGACCTTCATTCCTCTGAAAAGAAAGAGAAGCAGGAAAACCCAAGAGTTAGAGCTGACCTCCCCAAATGCACACTGCACTGCTACGGTCTGTGAGGCTTAGCGTAAATGGCAGACCAAAATAGAACACAGAGCTACTTTTATATTCCAAACCATGACACGAGACTTTCCAGAGCTAAAGGCAGAAAAAAGACGCACATTTCTCTCTGTTCACTGTGAATGAAATCTCAGATTTTGGGTACTGGTGAAACTCTCCAGGCATCTAATGTTAAATGAAAAGTACTATGTCAGGATCCTGTTTGAATCTGGGAGGCATGGAAACAGAAAAAGCCAACATGCTTTACTTATTAAATATATAATGGGATTTCTTCCCTTTCCTGTGGGAAGCCTCGGCTTGCAAACAGACCATAGCTAGAACAAAAGCAAATTTATCTTCAAGTACCTCTTTCTGCACAGAACCTTCTTACCCTATCAACCACAGGTGAAAATATTAGGCTGGTCCACATGAAACTGCTGATATTGGACCATTTCAGACTAGGAAAAAATGGCAATTTCAGATGGTTCAACTGAATACTTTAGATAAGTTTTGCCTGTTATGAAATCCTTTCATGATAGGGGTATTGGGAGACAGGCCTGACACCATCTTCTATGCTGATGAGTATTATCAGGGACCTATAACATGGTGTTATGTTTCAGAAAAGGTTAATTGATCTATGATATTTTACAGATATGGAATAAAAAAAATCATGTTAAAATGGGATTCATTTACCCAAATTTAAGTAGGCAGTAAGCTAAGTAAACCACTATTTTTTGATGAAGCATTAGAATCTATTTGAGCAGGCTGGGTGTAATCTCGCCTCCCAGTGCTTTGGGAGGCCAATGCAGGAGATCACTTGAGGAAAGAATTTGAGACCAGCCTGGGCAACATAGTGAGATCCCATCTCTACAAAATATAAAAAAATTAGCGTGGTGGTACACTCCTCTGGTCCACGTACTCAGGAGGCTGAGGCGGGAGGATAGCTGAAGCCCTGGAGTTTGAGGATGCAGCAAGCTATGATGGTGCCGCTGCACTCCAGTCTGGGTGACAGAGAGAGACCCTGTCTCACAAAAAGAAAAAGAATCTATTTGAGGAGACTTGAGACCCAGTCTTGGCTTAGCTACAAATATGCTGTGAGCCTTGGGACAGGGTACATCAGTCTCTGAGCCCTAGTTTTCTCATATGTAAAACCAAAGGACTATAGTAAATGATCTCTAAGTCCCTTTTACTCCAAAGTCTAACATTAACAGATTGCCTTTAAGGTTCACTGACAAGTATATTTCAGAAAGAAGTAAGCCACAAAATCACTGTTAGGTGTACACTGTAAGAGATGACTAGTTGTCTTAAAGAATTCCAAAACTCTTGGTTAGTGAAGGGACACTAAGCAACAATGAATAACAAGCTTAAAACTTTAGCTAAAAAACTTCTTTAATTCTAAAGTGTGAAATCACTCTTTATACCTGGTGGCAGGGTCGTTCAAAGATGGAGAAATGGACAAGATGATTGATTTCATTCACCTGCCCAGGTCACGCAGAGATACATTTTCAGCGTTCTGAGCCCCATACTGCCACGCCATCCCTTAAGCAGCAGAATGCTCTCACCTCACGAAGTCTTTCTTGGAGTGCTTCTACGCAACGTGGCAAACACATTAACTTGAACAACTAACTGAGCATAACCAAAATGCTTTCTAGAACATCTGAGGTTGTGCTGGTCTATATGAACAATGTTTTCCCTTTACTACCAAAAGGCTGAATCTTGGAGTAATAAGTCAGGTAGAGCCAGGTTAGCATGGAGGTGGGCTCAGAACATGAGCACCTGCCTATCTGTTTGTGTGTACATGTCTTATCTGTATTAAGCCCAAAATAATTTCCTTTTGCAGATCACATTTCTGTTTTATCTGTGCTTTTCTTCCACCTATTTGTTAGGTTATTTGACACATGACATCCCACAGTTCCTTTATCTAGGCCTAAGCATCCTTGGTATATTTCAAAATAAAGTTACATTTTTTAAAAAAAATGCACAATTGCTCTGTGGTTAGTAGGAATGAAAGAACCAACACGTATCCGTTGAAATTTCTCATTTACTTGTCTGTCTCCCTCACTGGATGGGGAGCTCTGTGGGGGCAGGAACAAGATCTTTTTCTTCTTTGTAACTCTGGGGCTTAGAAGAGTACTTTGCACACAGTAGGTATTCCACTAAGGTTAAATGAACAAAACCAGCCAAGTTATACCTGGGATCAACGGAGGAGGGACTGTAAAACTCTTAAACCTCAGACACCAGAGAAGCCTTCCTGTTTATTCCACTGGGAGGAAGGGCTCATGCTAAAAGGTGGCTGGATGAGGCGTTCTCACCTCTCACTCTCATCTGCCGCCTTCTCGGCCTCCTCCAGCTTCTGCAAAGCTGTTGCCAGACGCTCCTGGGCCCGATCCAACTCTTCCTCAACCAGCTGGATGCGTCTGTTCAGAGAAGCTACATCGGCTTCCGCCTAGGCAGAGAGAGTGAGAAGCATTCCAGAGTTAGAGGGAAAGTGAGGGTGGTACCTTCAGGAAATGGCCGGGACTGAAATGCCGACTTCAGACAGGAAGCCTTTGTGGTGAGCTACCTTTGAGTGCATTACAAGCCCTGGTCAACTCTGGAGTTCTCAGATACATTTTTTACATTGATTTATACGATGAACATCCATGTTTGTGTATATACAAACCTATACACACAATTCTCACCGGACAGATGGACCATTAGCAAACACTCTCCCACGCGGTTCCTTTCTTCTGTAGATTGCCAAGCCCTGGCTTTCTTTCCCTATTAAAGGAGAGCTTCATTGCAGCCACCTCACTGGGGGCCTGAGGTGTATACAGAGACACCAAGACACCCAGGTTTGGCCACATAAGACAATAGCAGTATAGTCAGAAATGGGACCCAGGAGTTTCACTCAACTCTCCTTTCTCCTGGCTACTTTCTCAAAAGAACCTTATAAAGGAATATAAATATTCTATAAATATTTTAGAATATTTTAAAATTCACTGGTTCTAAAATACTCACCATATGAAGTCCCAACTCATTCCAGTAACTCACCCCACCCCCTCCCCTTTCAGCAAACCCCTTTAGAATAACTGCTCATGCTGGAACAGAGCCAAGAAAATTTTTGACATAAGCCTATGAAATTTCTTACAAGTCAAGAAAAGTATCAAACCCCTAAGGAAAAAAGCAACACAGACACTGTTTTCACTTGGTATCTATCTCTGAAATGTTTCTTTCTTTCTTGTGGAGCCAATGATCACCTCCTGTCATAAGAAATTGTTACAATTATGAACTTATAGTTCCCTGCGCAGAGTATGGGCTCAATAAAATGAGTAAAACCAACCTAATTTAAACAAAAGCAACTTTCTTAGCTCATGGATCTATGATACACAGATTTGGAAACGCACATATAGTTAGAGACTGTGGTCATGGCCTTGAATCAAAGGAATATGAGAATATTCAGCTCTTTGCTTGTCTAGATTCACAAGATTTTAAATTTTCTCTGGGAAGAGGTGAGTAGGGCCTCACCAATCATGGTGAGGGACTCTATAAAAACATTTCAATACACCTTCAACTGGACAAAAATGTAGTAACTGGTTGACAGAGACAGGGAGCAGAGCAAATGTGAAATGAATCCGAGGAGGAGGGTTTACAACAGTGTTTGCTAGAAAGTAAATCATTATCAGTGCACAGCTAGTAACTGGGCCCAGCTAGCAGTGACTGATCCATGACTATTGTTTCTGCTTTTGCTTTGAGGAAGGGTGAAGGTATAACAAATTTCTTTTAAAAATCATTATCCCTATTTTTTAAAAAATTGGGAGGATGTATATATTAGGGGTATACTTTTGGGTCTTCACTTTTCTGTATTTTCCATTTCCAGTAAAATTTTATGCCTTTTATGAGCAAAAGGGAAAATAAGCAAGGAACTGTGAAAGTTGAAGCAACAATAAGAGCAAAACAAAAACAAAACAGCAAAACCACACACACACACACACACACACAAACCCCCATACCACCACCAAAAAACTCTGTAGAGTATCTAGGTCATGTACTCAAAAGTACTGTATGTTTTCTTTTCTTTTCCCTTCTTTCTTATTACTATTATTTTTAATACGAAGGCAAATATCTCCATTACAGATGCTGTGGCCTATCAGTGAAACGTTACAAACATTTTTGTAGCCACCAAGCTCTAGGTTCTCTACTGCGCTTCAGATCTGGGCCCGAACCTCAAGGACTGTACTCACAGAAAGAAGACTGTTTATGCTTTGGGGAAACAGCCTTCTGTGTGATAGCTGGGTCTGTCCCCAGCTCCCCACACAGCTGGGTCACAGCTACTGTCACTGGAAGGAGACAGGACCTTGTATTTGTGCCAGCTTCTGCACACGAGATTTCCCTGAAAGGTTCCCACCAATCAATCCGTATCATCCCTTTTATTCTCCCCACCCCCAGCCATTCTTCCCCTTAGCTCTTGGCACTGTGTTCAGCAAAATGCTGTTGTATAAATGTCACTCATGCTTTCCCCCCAGGAACATTCTATAGAACCTTAGACTCCTTGACATTAGGGCATACGTCCTACAGGAATATCAGCTGACAGGGCCTCACACAGGGCATCAGGCTTGACTGAGAATGGACATCTGTTTCTAGGAGCCAGTTTGCTACACAAAGGCAAGACTGGTGCGCACACACAGAGCAGACCCGCAGGTGGCTGGCCCTTCCTAAGGAAGTCTGAAAAATGGAGCTGGAAGGGTTCTCAGGCACCATCCAAATCAGCAATTCCCACAACTGGTTGGGTGTCAGAATCAACGAGGAGATGAGTATAAAAAACACAAACTTCCAGGTCCCATCCCTAGAAATTCTGATTCAGGAGGTTGGTGTGGGGCGGGAAGCAGGAATCTGCACTATAAATAAGCAACCCCCTCCATTCCTCCTCCACCACCCAAACAAGCTGGAAAATTCTGCGGGAGCTGCTCATCTAGCTCTTCATTAAAAAGAGGGGGAGGGAGAGAACTTTGAGCCAGAGTGCTGAAGATGCTTGGGCCATACAGCCATCAGCAGGAGATACGCCTAAAATCCAAGTCCCTTGGCTCCCCATGTGCTGGCTCTCCACTTGTCACGTCTCTTCCTGGCCTCCTGAAACATCATGGGAACTTTGGAATTGGCAGTTCTCACCCCTGAAGTCTTTCTCTTTTCTGACATCAGATTGGGAAGTTCTCTGCCACCAACCCCCAACCCCAATTCCCTAAGAAAGGCCTTAAGGAACGGACCCCAACTAGGACTAGGGAATAGTTACTGTTATGAAAATCATCTACTGAACAAGTCATCTCAATCCTTTTTGAAATAAAGTAGGGTATAAAATAGAAAACTTCATAAAATAACACTAATAGGTAATAGACAGCTCACATATGGACATAGAGCATTTGCTCTGTAGCCCAGAAGTCAATGTCTACTGCCCCAGAGGTTGCAGAGGGGTAAAGGCAGAGGTGCTTTTAGGTTAAAGTCAGGACTCGGGAGTAGTGTCTGAAGCACATCTATTTTCATGGGGAAACCCTGGACTCTTGACAGGCTCTGCAGGTCCTGTTATACTGGGCTAATCAAAAATTTTGGTTCCTTAGAATTCAAGATATGTTTTATTTTATAATTTAAGTAGGGGCAATTCTTTCTCTTTCTTATTTTTACTTTTTTTTTTTCCCCCCCCAGATTTATTATGCTCTATACCCAAGAAGCCTCATACCTCTCACCTTCATTAGCTTTTATTTCTGGTATATTTTTCCTAAGTTTTGAGGCTTACTTAGATATTTTCTAAGGTTCTTTTCATCACAGCACCTGGGTAATCTTAAGGACCTGCTGTTGCTTCTGTTGGTACAAGCCCATAGCCACTCGACCATCTGTTATTTAAAAGCAGATACAAATAGCAAGGCATTCGGGGAGGGTCAAGACCCCAGACATAAATTATTTCCAGGCATGTAAATCACCCTTAGTGTACTGGCTTAGCTTTCTTCTAACAATGGCCCATGTGTTGACTGCCAGTGAAGTCAATCCCAACTTCAGTTTGGGATGCTGGTTTCTTTTATTTCAAAAGTGCTATTGTGTCCCAACATGTAATGAGCTGCTCAAAAAAGAGACTGCTATATTAATAAAGGCTACCAATGTGTTTGCAGATCTGTTGTTAAACAACCTCCTAGTGCTCTGCACTCGTGAGGTGCCTTAGAATTGCACATGGCCCTCCCCTGAAGTAATAGCTACCTATACAGAAAACAAGGGCATGCACACTATTCCCCGGCCCCCAATAAGATACTATATAGAAGTGAAGGTCATGCCCATTCCAACATAGCAAAATATTACTCCAAATCAGACTGGGGGGGGGCAGGGAACCACACATACAAACTTTTACAAGGCCTAGATTTTCATGAAATCTGGATGTTTTAGCCAATACAACAACAAAAATTAAAAATAGCAATGACTTTTACTTTTTTAAAAAAAAGTATTCCAGTTAAGGCTATTAAGAAGAAATACTGGGAGAGTATCACATCCTAAAAAAAAAAAAAAAAAAAGTCAATCTTCTGGAATATGTTTCCAAAGTCCTGCCTGAACCAGAGTGGAACATGGGATGATCAAAGGTCAGATCTTTTTATTTCATGCAAACTGTAGTTATACAGAGAAGATTTCACTCAACTTGCTGTGTAAGACCAAGTGACCACAGCCAAGCTAAACTTCTGCCCTTATATGGTAAGAAAGAGGAGGAAAAAAAAACTACTGATGACATTAAGGGGCACTCCCATGGATAATAGATAAACACAACCTCCTCTTTCTGTGCCAAGGCCCACAATTTATGAGGCTTATTTGTATAATGAGGGAGAACAGACATGAACAAGGCATTGTAGTGCCTTCGCCTTGCCTATATATGAAAGCAGAAATCGAGAGTATACATTCCAGTTACAGCCACCCTGGGAGTGCCAATGCAAGCACAAAATGAACTCTCCGTTTCCTTGTCCCAGAAATATTTACCAACTCTGAAGAGGAAACGGGCTGGGAATTTTTGTAAATTGGTTGTTTCCCATGATTCAATAAAGTTACTGATTAAGAACCTACTGGCTACAACTGTAAGTCTCCTCGTTTGCTGGGTACTACCCAGAAAGGAGGAAAGAGATCAGCTCCTTCTTGCTTTTTTTTTTAATAATGACGAAAAACAAACAAAACCCTGGTAAGTCACAAGACCTAGAGGCAATCATTAAATCAAGCAAAGTCCCCTCACTCCAACATTTTGAAGGGCCCACACACCTTGGAAAAACAAACTAGGAGGAAATAAGGGATGGCTGCTTTTACCAAGGTAAGTGTTGGATTAACAGGACCTATTAACTCCAGCCTGTCTGAACCTTTGAGTATTTGAATTTAGGCCAACTTTCCAGTCAAATATTTTTTGCAGTGGTTCATGGCTTAGTCACTAAACCTTTATCTTTACTTCCAGGA